GTGTATTCATACGCAGCAGCTGTAGAAGAACTTTGCTGTCTTTTATTTAGCAAAGTGCGTTATGAATTTCATCAAAAGACTATTTTAACACCTACAACTGGCAAGTATCAATTTTAGAACCAAGATCACGTAGGACCATTTTTCCCTTTCTCCCCATGAAGTAAGAAAGTCAAATCCGTTGGCATACAATCAAATCTGCAAATGAAATAAAATATTTTAGTAAGAGACAAGACTGTTGACTATGGAGACTTTCTGGTGTTCACTTGTAGAGTTCTTTGACTGATCTCCTTTGAGCAGACTTTGGTTGACCAAAAGAGGGAACTGCAATCCCAGAACTCATGGCTACGTTTGCTTTTTATTTATTTATTTTACATTTAGAGACCAATGCACCGGGCGGGACGTCTCTGAACAACTAATCCACAAAGGGTTAAGTCAGCAGACTCGCCACTAGCTTTCTAGATTGGTAATATGTTCTTTAAGTAATTCCAGTTTTTATCAAAGCATAATTCAGGTATTTGTAATACTAATTATATTTAACCTCCTAGGACCTGGCGTCCACATGTGGACGTCACATTTTGGGTTGTTTAGAACAAAATACTAAATTTTGCTCTACAAGGGCCTGATATCCACTTAGGACGTCATGCTGCCACTGTTCTGTCGAAATTTAAAGCGAACGTCCTCATATGTGGATCTCATTTTTCCTCAGAAACAAAAATCAAACGCACAGATTTACTCGGATTCTTCATGGTTGTTTTTGCATCCATCAGGTCCCAATCAGCCCAAACGCAAAGAGAAATTAAAAATGCTGCCATGAAAGACTTTAGAGGTTAAACAAATTTACAATAAATTTTCTCCTGTTTGGATCAATTTATCCCACTGTTGGGATGTAATGAAAGCCCTAAACTGCGATTTGCTAAATACTTAATTACCACCTTAGTATTTATATTAAAGTCTTAATTTCTCCTATTAAAATGCATTTGTCTCTCTTGCTCTGGGTGTGTTAGTCGAGGGATGCTGTGGAGGAGGAGCAGCAGGTTTACTGCACCATAACCAGAGCCTGATCTACAGCTAGCAGGTGGCACATCTGTGTATTCAAACACACACAGCTACCTATTGTGGCCCCTCCCTGCCTTGATCCTGGATTAACTATCAAACGAGCCCTTAATGCAGGTTACCAGGGTTTGGGAACAATTCACTAAAACAATCAGTTGATTAATTTCAAACGATTTTCCCTCTTCTGCCAAGCAAATGATAATACTTTTGTTTTTAACTCCGAGCCCCCCTCCCCTTTTTTAATCAACAAATTAAGCATAAATCATGTTTGATCTTTATTTACTGGTTGCTCGGCAGTTGGTAGAGGTCGAGAAAGATTACTGGGCACACTAATAGGCTACAAACAACCCAAACATGCCTCCATTGGCCCTCGTGAACAACCTCACATTTCTTTTGTATTAAAAACACCCAAAACAAAGAAAAAACTAACCATTAAAACTACTTGTTACATTTTTCATATCACCTCAGTGCAACAAAAATAATTCCCTTACTTTCTCCCCTCCTGAGTAAACCCCACAAACGACTAACAAAAGGATGTTCCAGCATGTTCTAATGGGAGGTATATTATTCTCCAAGCTTCACAAAGTGAGATAATTTGGCATTGCAACACAGTGGCATGATTTAGCCGACTATATTTTTCTCCGAGCCACCTCTTTGCCACCTCGTAAATTTGCTTCCAGCAGCTCTGACACTGAGGTCCAGTTTCTTAATATTCAGCCTCCTGCACAGACTGTCGGACGTGCTGCAGCACCTGAGAGACGAGCAGGTGGAACAATCCCGGTGGCCTGAATACATGAATTCAGGCGAGTTTGCGATTGTGCCGAGATACAACATCCTGCCTCTGAAATATGTGTTTGTTTCTATACCCATGTTTCCACAAAGTCGATTTTAAAGACTGAATGTGATCACTTTGAGTCATTCTGTTTGATTCAGGAGGAAGAAGGAAACAAATAAAACATGAAATAAATTCAGTGTGCCCAAATTTAGCCGATCCATTAGGACGACCTGGGCAGAGATTGAGGTTTCCCCATTTTGACGTCTGAAGCGTCTTATTTTAAAGATGGATGCATGAGTGTTTTATTTACAAAAAACAACAAGCGTCCATCTATGCAGCAATCCTCTTCTGTCATTATCCTGATATGCAGTAAATCATCAGTGAAGTGTTTTGCAGTTATCCTGCTGTTAAGTCTTTTATGAGCCATTTGACACAAATCTACCACCTCCCTGCGAGCATTCGAAACAAAAGAGCCACGCATGACCACAAAAGAGAAAGTCATTTGTGAAATGTCCTGATTATGTGGGTTGTGCAACGTAAAACAATTTGCCTGATTACTTCCAATTGATTCGTCCTTACAGTTAAAACCTCAGCGCGGGCTGTTGCGCTGCACTGTGTCATGCCGCCGTGCAGGGGAACGGGAGTAATTTCTCCGATGTGCAGCTGAGCCAGCTTACCGAAGCTAAAGCCTCCTGGATGCTACTAAACCTCGGGGAGCCTAAACACTAGGCTAGCTACCAGCTAACTCAGTCTGCTAAAACCCTGAGGGATTTGTCTGTGGCACAAAGTGAATTAAAGGTGACCTTCTGAAAAGGATGGAGGGAAAAAGAAAGCGGGGAGTGGGGATGCAGGAGATGTCACCATTTTCTTTTAGTTTACTTGTCCACGTATAAACGAGTAGCCTCATCCCACATAATGTCAGATTCTCTACATGATGACCACATGTTGTGTACAAGTCGACATAGAAATGCATTCGATCTGAGGTCATCCTGCAGTTTCTGCAGAGCTGTTTGCTAACCAAGCTTTATTATTGTCAATAACTCAGAGGTTTCATTTCTAATGTTAAAACGACTCCTGTGATGATGATGATGGCATGAAGACTATAGTCACATCACAAAGTAACTGTGCTGATGTTTAGGCAGCTTTTGACTTTGAAGGAGATTTTCACTATCAAAACACTTTCTTTAGAATATATAAAGAAGGAAAACTCACCTGAATGTTGATTTCTGCTTTGAGCTGTAGTAATAAAGACACCATCTCCTTGTGGCCTCTGTCACAGGCCCAGTGCAGGAGAGCCCGGCCCTGCAAAAACAAGAAATAATTGGTGTACGATGACATCAAAGACATGCAGGGATGACCAAATTTCCAAAGCCAAGATGTGTTTAAACTAGCGTGACGCTCTGTGTCATGTCTGGTTTAGACCAAATCAACCAGGCTTGATACAAAGACACCTCGTCACCTCTCCTCCTTCTCTACCTCAAAGAAGGAAAATAAGCCAATCAAGCTTTACAACAGGTTATGAATGCCCATTCAGAAATCAGAGCCTTTGGATTGGTCCATAATGAGCCGACTATAAAGTGATGAGCATACAAGTGTTTGTATGAGGCCAAACTTGTACGCGGTTGAAGCAAAGTCCAAAGACTTCAAGGCAAATTGCAGAATGCTGCAAAGGTTGATTGATGCGACGCTGTGCACAAACATGAGTGGCCTCCCTTCTCTCCCTCCCTTTCTCACACTCATGCACCATCCTCTCCTTAGGTCCAACATCCTGCTCTAATAAAAACACACAACCTCATTTTTCAGTGAGGCCAATTAGGTAAAGCTAACTCTCCAAGTCCAATTCTGTTGCTTAAATTATATTGATCACCACGGCTGCATGTTAAAATGGAAACTTGTAAGCTGGGCTGGAATACCAATAAGGTGGCCTCTCTCTCCCGCTCTCAGGTGTGCTTCTGCTGACTGTTGCCCACATTTTCACTGAAGACCAAAGTGTGCAGGCTCCAGTGGGACATCACACAAACTCTGCAACTCCAAATTTTAAGCTTATTCTAATCAAGAACCGTGCTGTGAAGACTGAAGGACTTTAAAAGCACACAATATTTGTTCCAAACTGGATGTGAAATCGCCACAAGAGTATTTGTGCAGATCATCATGGCAACACTGGATATATTTAAGTTCTGTCATAATCACAATATGAATATTTGAGTTAAATTGTGGCCAAAAATGTTTGAAGTCAAAATTACCATCAACAAAAAAACAAAACAATTTTAAATTTCATTACTTTTTCCCCAGAAACCTCAAAGCGAGACCTTTGATCATGGCTAATATCTCACTATTGAAGAAGGTAACCCGCATTTGTGCTGGCGCTCTGCTCTGATAGGTCAAAGTGAAAACTTTTGTGGAGACTGTAAGTGCACCTCTGCAAAAAATTTAAAGACATTAGCAAAGGAAGCAGAGAGACAAAAAACATGCATATATTTGCTTAAGTCCTCCATCTCATCCTCTTTTATACACTTAGTCCCAATAAACACCTATTGCATATTTGAGTACACAAACCACAGTATCCAAACATTTACCCCAGCAGCTAACAGAGCTACACAAGATATTGAGATTCAGCTGCAGAGATTGTGAAGGAGCCTTTAGTGTTTCCTAGAAGACAAATATGCTGTACGCTGGTTATTTGTTGAGCTTTTGTCCACCCAAACATGCTCTGAAGCATGCTCACACTACAAGTATCTCCAAATTTAACACGACCTCTTAACGTGGTGAAAATCTAACTATAAATTACATTCTCAGCTCACCGTTGCCACATAAAAAGTTCCCGACACGCTGACTCAGACTCAACTGTAATTTAGATAAATACGGCTGGATGAAAAAAGTCTTCCTATTTTATATAAACACAACTATAATACGGTCACAGATGCAGCTTTTAAATATGGAGCTTTTTTATTATATTCAAACCAATCCTAAGGCAAGCCGCCCCAAAACCAAAAAAAATCCGGAACAGATCTGAAGCACAAACACATGTGATCTGTTTGGGTAATCGCCATTTATTCATCCAAACCGGAAATAGTTGTCAGTTGGTTTGGTTCAACTATGATCTGAACGTGTTACATAAATAAAAACTAGGGGGGCATTTTTCTATCTAGTAATAAATTTTCACTGAATTTGATCAGAAAGGGAGAACATTCACATCCCAACAGCTGCGAGGGGAAAAAAATCTGACAGGATGAGCTCGCCTCACACGTTCGAATGCATTTTTAAATTTCTCTACCTCAGAGTCTGAGCTCTAACGCAGAGCTTTTGTTTGTTGGTTGCTACTAGAAATGTGTAACACAGGTGGGTATTTGATCACCGTCCCAAACAGTGAGTGCTGGGAAGACAGCATTTCTGTCTGAGCCACAGATGCAAATGAAAACTTCACTACTGCCCTCTGCTGTCCAGCAAGCTGAATTACAGCTAAGAGGCCAACAATGGCTGGGGACACAAAGCATTCTCACCGAGGTCCTTCAGCCATCTGGCCTTTGACTGTGAACTCACCAGCCGACTGTTTATCTGAATAGCGGCTGTGATGAAAGAGGCTGGGAGTGAGCCATTTGGCCTGGATGCGAACCAATCAAGGACAGATGAATGGAGTTCAGGGTCAATCCAGAAAACACCTCCTGATGCTAATAGCCGCTCATACAATTTACGCATTTCAGTCAGAGCAGCGATTCCCGCGTGTGGCCACAGATCACTGAAACCATTATGTAACGACGGCTGCGTGAGCTGCATGAGCTGTTCCCCCAGTGACCTGTATTTTTCATGATACGGGTCTGATCGCCTTTACCTTCCCCTCCCACACAAGAGGTCAGAGCCATGCAGCTGTTACAGATTCAACAGACACGTCAGCCATACAATGAAGTTCTTCCTGACTCTGATTTTAATTTGCTACTATAGGTCTGTCCTGCTGTATTATGTATGAAAACTACACTTTGTCAAGTCAATCATGCAACCAGTGGAGTGTGACTGAGCTTTGCAGATACCTCGTCATCCCGTATATTGACGTCCACATTCTGGCAGGTGATGGCGTTGGTGATGTATTCGATGTTATTGTCTCTGCAGTAGTCAAAGATGTCTTTATCCTCTTCCCTGAGAACATGGGGGGAAATGAACAGCTATCAGTTACCATAATAGTTATAATATTAATATGGTTTTACTTTAACTGAGATTTCGGCAGGTTGGGGTTTGTGCGCCCTTTAGCACCACAAACCAAAATCCATTCAATTCTTTGGGACGATGGAACTGAAACTGTGTCCATGGGCATATTAGCAGATTGTGTAGCTCATCATGCGGTCCTTCACAATGGAAAGTGCAGGTACACCACACAAGCAACATGTTGTCACATTAGTGGTAATGGTAGCAGCTAGCATAGTGAAGCAACCACAGATAACATCTCTCATAGAAAAGCAGCAGCCACGCGTCCCAGATCCCTCGGGAGCACCGGCGTATGACACATGCACACAGAGAGCCATCCCACCTCTAATTATCTCTCTGTGTCTCTAATCACCTCTTGGCATTGGGGACAGGAGTGCATGCTGGGAGAGGAGAGGGTGCAGCGGTGGAGGAGGGATGTTGGGTGAGGGGGAGAGAAGGGGCAAAATCTCATTTAGAGCTTTACGCCTTCCCTTTCCTCTGCCCACGCCGGCCATTCAGATTAATTCAATTTAGTGCTCTATTGTTCGACAGGAAACCCTGCAAACCTGCCGCGTTACCGCTCCCACACAGTCAGTCATCCCCAAGGCAAATCCCCCAGTTCCTGTTTCCGACGCCAGCGTGCTCTGCTGCACTGGGCCACAAAAGTCCCAGAGTGCGAGCACACACGGCATTTTGGGACATTTCCCCCCCCATGAAGAATAAGGGTGGCTTTTACCTCAGAATGTGACTGCAGTGCGATTAAATGGACGGGTACATGTAGTGCTTTTTGTAAAAATAAATAAAAATCATGTTGATCACACAAATACAGCTTGAGGATTTTGCATTTGGCCAAAAAACAGACATGTGGACCAAGGGAACGAGTCGGCCCACTTTCCAAATCAGTTGAACACCTGCTGCACCTCCTGAGCTACAGCTGCTAGAGGTGGGAATCACCA